ATATGCTGTAACTTTTAAGGTCTCGTTATACACTAACAGTTTTATAGTTTCTATCCATCAAAAGCTTTTAACTTTGAAAACATTAGGTTATGTACAAATGTACAAGAGTGCGCAGCGAGGTATTGTATAAGAGTGCGCATTGCTTGCAATACGTAGTCTAATAGTCTTGGAGATACATATCATACGATAATGAATTATTTAACTGTACTACTTTGTACTGCTTCTCAAGTTGTGTGGTGGTGGTTATGGTGATTTTTTTTTTATTTTTACTTCCTGAGCGTGTTGTAATCGAGTCCGTCGACCGACTCTCTATTTTTACGTTTTCTCGACTTTTCAAGACCCCTAGAGTACGAAGAAATAGGTCTCCCGTTTTATGTGTAGTCTGTAGTCACTTATTCCCATTTATTTTCACCTTAGAAACAAATATTTTTTCATAAAATGTAATGCGCACTCATAAGCGTTCAAATGCGCACTCTTGTGCAATGAACTGTCTAACAGTGCGCATTTACACATCTTGACAAAAATTGAAATTACCGTTAAAATATAGTTGTCTTGGGACGTACAATTAAATATATCTGATCTCTAAACATGTATATAACGAACCCATATCATAAAATTTGTCTATCCAAAAAAATTAAAAAGTTGTTGACATTTTTACACTAAGTGCGTACTCTTGTACACATTTACCCTATAATACTTATTTTATCATTATTGTATAACGACGTACGTATTCTTGGTTAGCATTTAACCAAATACATGATATTTCTAATATATTGTATTGTAGGGGTCATGAAACGTCGAGAAAACATAAAAGTGGCCATTCGTTCGATGGACTCGACTACAACACTTCCTTTGCTTACGCTTGGGAAGTAATAATACTAGTGAAACATATTAGCATTCTTTCAAATTTTGTATACATATTACGACTATCATGTAGATGGTAAACCACCAACATTTTGATGATGTCATCTCAAAATTTGCAATAGTCAATGTGTTTTCACTCCAAACATACAGATTTTTTGGAAAAAAGTCAAAATTGTATAACAACATTTTGCGAACGTTTTAAGGTTGTCGAACGCATGATAAATTGTTCATAAAAAATTATTGGTTTATTCAAATAGGATGTCCAACAGACAGTCGACGGACAGACGGAATCGGTGGACCGACATATAATACACATAATAAACGATTACCGAAAATTTCAGCTGAGACTGGTCATTTACGTTAAAAAACCATTTTCGGTTAAATTAGAGACAGTTTAGTGTCTTTAGCGTGAAAGAATTCTTTCTGGATTTTTCCGCATTAATATCTCCAACTTACACCTTCAAATCTACAGTCATAATGAGCCGCCCCCTCCCTCCGCCCCCGTTCTACTCAGCACACCTCCATCGCCCATCCACAAGTGAAAATTTCCCTGATAGCAATCCCGTTTTGTCGATGGCAACTCTGATGGTGAGTCGAATTAGCGAAGAAGTTTCAAAGTATCGCGATCACGCTAAATTTGACCTGAACGCCCCTATAATCGCCCCATCAAGCCCTATTTGGGGGGTAGATACGCGAACTAAGTGCGTTCCATTCGTCCGTCCGGAAATTGGCTTTTGATTTTTCGCCAGCATCCGAAAAACGAGGACAAATCCGCAGAAAAGCGCACCAGAAATAGCACGCACTCCTGACGCACTGATTATGGATGGTTTTCGAGTGGGTTCCTGCCAAAAATCGAAAATAAAAGGCGAGTAATCGAGTTGGGGTTGATATCTGTTCCGGCTCGTTATCGGCCGCTGCCTTATTGTCCTCGCGCCATTAAATAAGGGGATACACTGGGAAAAATGCGCTATTGTTTTAGGGTAATTTTTTAAGAAAAAAAATGTCAGAACAAAATAATAAATATTTTGATATTTAGCACAAAATCTGAAACTTATGATGTATAACGCAGGTAAAATTTTTCCCAACGCAAGCTGTTCCGATTTCCTTGTCGCTACTGTACCTGTCAGCATCGATTTTTCTCTGTGTACTCCCATTCGCAGTGGCGGCGATAAGAGGCGGATTCGGGCGGTTTTATTAATATCGAATGTCGTGGAATCACGTATGAACACATTTTTACGTTGGATGAGCGATGGCTCTTTCGTTCGTGGAATGACATGGACAAGTTAATCGGCATTTTGAGCAGGATAACAAACGACCTGATGAAAAATTAAACCGTGTAACAACTCATTCATCCGGAGTCTTATAAATTGCGCTCATTACTTGATATATCCGCGGTGGGCAGTCTGCGACTTGCTCGTTTTCGAGAGATGAGTTATGCGAATGCTAACCGAACGAACGCATTAATAAGGCAACGGGTAGTAATGGCAGAAACAATATGTTGGTTAATATTTATTTTGCCGGAGTCACGAGATCTTCGTCGACACACAATTGATTTGCCGGAATTAACCGGTCACTGCTTTTGGCGCGTTCTGACGTATACACTATTTGCTTGTTTTTAATTGCGTAAATCCATTAATTACCACTTTCGTTCTAATCGCGTCCAAAAGCCAACAATCAAAAACTAATTCTACCCACTCTCCTAATAGCCCAACAGCGTTCTCGTGCCTCCAACAAACAAATCGTCCACGCGTTACCAAACATTTACACTTCCACCTAATTATCGCCTTATATTCACTTCAACACGAACAAATTTCCAACTCGCTAATGAATTGGAAACAGATTTCACCGAGCCAATGGAAATTCCGACGCGCTAATTGCCATAATCACAAAGCCGGCTGATAAGGATAACCGAAGCGCTTCTTTATTACTTATTTATTTGGCGGAGCGTTTGCTAATAACAGGTATGCAAATTAGACGGGGGCCGACACAATGGGCGCCCTGTATTAACAATACAGGGTGTATCAGCCACAAGCGAATTAAGTCGGTGTGGGCGTCACCGGCGGATATATTACAATAACACGTGACCGGCTGCTCGATGATTGATCATTATGTTTATGAAAATCAAAGAGAGCTGCGAAGTCGGATTTTATGCAAATGGGCGGCGGATGGGGTGGTTATGACCGCTATTGTTTGAAACGTAATTTTATGGACGGATTTGGAACGTGTAGGCAATATTATATACGAATCGTTGATCGAAATCACAAATAACTCGAAGCCAAGTTGGGTCCTTGAGTTACACCAGAGTGTAGTTCTTCGAACAATTTCCGATCCGTTAATCAGCGAACAAATTACATACATACAGTGTGGTCCATAAGCCGCCTTTCTCTCAATCACCAATAATTCAAGTCGAGGTCAATTATTTCCCAGGATCGCTGGACAATATGCACTCCATCATTGTTGCCCCGGGTTGTTATGGCTTCGTCGTGGCCAAGATCCATTCTGCTGTCTTCTGCGGCCGGCGAGGAGTTATGTCTTGGCCGTGTCGCTGACACACTCGCTTATATTTTATTTTATTGTGCTGGTCCGCACGCCCGATAACCGCCATATTGCCCTTTTCTACGTCTCAATTCGTTTTGACGACGTGTGGAAGAGTGGCTCGCACGATTTGGTGAAGGATTGAGATAGCGGAGCTACAACAAGAGAAAGAATCGCTTTGTTATGTGCGATAGAGCTAAAGGTGGTAGACAACCAGCTTTACTTTCAGGGGTATTATATAAATCGTTATTCTATGATAAAATAGTTTTAAGTCATTAAAAACAGTTCAATCAACCAAAAAAATTTGACACCGAAAACCAGAAAGCCAATTCGGTGTGTCTGTCCACGAGCACAGCAACCCAAACCCCCCATCTTTCTCAAAATAAATCTCGGCCTGGCAAAGCCGTCTCCCAGGGCCCTTTTTTCCGGTGATTGTTTTAGCCGTCGCTGTCGGTTCCTACCCGGCAATAAAATCATATTCATGTAGCATTCTATACGCGGATATTGAGTTACACCCTCCGAACAATATAATAAATAAATCTGTAATCTAATATGCACCCCCGTGGCATGGGAACGCCGGTCCGTCCATCGGCTTATGTGGTTTACAAGGATTAGCCCCGGCTTTTTACCGTTGGCATATTGAATGTGTAAAAGATATTAAACGGTTTGATTTATGCCGCGCGTGCCCGCTATTAAAATGTTTGTGATGGAATCACGCTGTTTAACTTTCACACACAGCTGAAACTCGTAATTACTTCTCGTAACGTGGCCGTTTTCTTCGTCTTCGGACGAGGAATCGATGCAGAAGTCCGTCTGGTCGAGTCAAGGAGGGAAGAATTGAGCGATTGTGATTTAAGCTAATAGCGAGGGGCGTGAGAATGTAATGCGATATATGTTTGGAGAGTGTTCTAATGTTTTTCTATAGAAATTATTTTTTGAAATAATAATAATAAGACGCATTTATTTGATAAACCACAAAGTGCAAGATCACATATCTGCGGTAGAATAAAAGTCATACACTCAGTGTTCAAAACAGAAGAAGAATTAGGTAATAATAATAATAATAATAATAATAATAAAATCATAAAATTCTTGGTGGAGATGATTTAACAAATTTGGTTAGTGTTCTGCCAGTTCTGCCAAAATTTTACAACAATCAGTCCAGTAGTTTAAGAGATAGGGTAAAGTCAGGAGAGTTGGACCAGTGGGAGAGACGGTCCATTAGCAATAACTCTGAACCTATTGCAACAATTTAAATTTCCCGCGAACTGCAGTTGCATTTATCTGCATTCATGTCGAGACATGTGAAAATACTTTTGTTTCAATTGTTTGTATTGCGTTATTCAACATTAAAATTTTCTTGCGGGCGTGAAATTTCAGCCGCTTAGTTTGCGATAACGTTTGTTGGAAGTCTGGTAAGTTTGCATATAAAAGTCATAGATAGTGCAATTAATTAAGCTTTGTCTTTGATTTTAACCTCACTTTACGTGATTTTATCACTCAGTTGTGCCGCAATGTAGTGGTCCATCTGTCCTAACATAAAAGGATAGATGGTCCAACGGTGTGACGGAGAGATGGACTTATGTTCCATTTTTTAGAAAATGCCAAGCAATTACATTCGAAAAACCAACGTAAGACCACGAGGTCTTTGGGCCTCAAATGATTTGCGTGCAGCAATAGATGCAGTCAATTCAGGCACTATGGGGGTAAATGAAGCTGCTAGGGCTTTTAATATACCTAAGACAACTTTGAAACGCAGACTAAAAACAAAAAATTATGAAAAGCTTAATAGATTAGGTCCAGATTCGATGCTTGGAGCAGAAGCAGAAGCAAAACTTGCAACTCACATAAAACAACTGCAAAGATGCGGCTTTTCACCCACTAGAAGTGATGTGAGAGAAATGGCGTATAAATTAGCTAACAAGTTAGGCAAAAACAATAAATTTAACGAATGTTCAGGTAATGCCAATAAATAAGGTAGATTTGTATTGCATCTCGATGGCTATTAATTTTTAGGTATAGCGGGCAAAACATGGTTAGCTTCTTTTTTGAGAAGAAGATCCGATATTTCAGTACGAAAAGCAGAGAACGTTTCTATTGCCCGTGCACGAGGAATGAATAAAGGTATTGTAGAAACCTACTTTAAAGATCTTGAACAAATTTTGACGGAAAATTCATTATTTGATAAACCTGGAAATATATTTAACTGTGATGAAACGGGACTTCAGTTAAATACAAGACCGGACCACGTTCTTGCAGAAAAGGGTTCGAAATGTGTGGCCAACATTAGCCCAGGTGAAAAGGGGGAAACGATTAGCGTTTTATCCTGCTATAATGCTGAAGGAGGGTATTTACCCCCATACTGTATTTTTAAAGGAAAAAATAAAAAAGCTGAGTGGCACGATGGAATGCCTCCTGGCTCACGCATAGCAATGTCTGAAAAGTCAGCTTATGTCAATGCTGATATATTTCTTGATTGGCTAAAAACCCATTTGTTCCCGAAAAAGCCGCCTGGCAAGATGTTGCTAATACTAGATGGGCATTCAGCACATACAACAAACCTAGAGACTCTTCAATTTGCAGAAGAACACGAAATTATACTTTTTTGTTTACCACCACACACTACACACTATTTGCAGCCTCTCGACAGAAGTTTTTTCAAGTCATTAAAAAGCTACTTTTACGAAGGTTGTAGATACTTTGTTAAGGGTCAACCCAATAAAAAACTGAACCGATTACAATTTGGAAAACTTTTGGGAGAAGCTTGGGGCAAGTCCGCTAATGTTCAGAATGCAGTATCAGGTTTCAAATCAACGGGAATAATGCCTTTTAATCCTAGAGCAATTCCTGAGCATGCTTTCTTGTTAGAAGATAACATAGTTGCAGAAGGCACCACTGGAGAATCTATTCAACAAAGAGATTCGCAAGAGTCAGGTTTTTCTGTTGGCCAGTCAATTCTTGGTCAAATAGTTTCCCCGGATCCAGATTTGTTTTTCGAAGAATCTGACTTGGATCCAGCAGTTTTACTCGGACAGCAAACACCTTTTGCAGAGGCGGGGCCTTCCGGAATGCAAAATTTACAAAACACGACACCAAAAAAATCTGCTTTACTTAATAATATTACTCCAGGCAAAGCATTAAACCTAATTTCGCCAGTACCAATTATTACACCTGCAGTGAAAAGGGTTTGTCGGCAACTAGCTACTGGTGTTTTGTCCTCAGAAAAATGCGCCACCAAACAAAAAAAAGGTAAAAAGCCGATTAATAAAAAAGTGGTTGTTAAATCATCTAAAAAGTACAAAAAGCAGAAAAAAAGTTCCTCGTCAGAATCTGAAGAGATTACATTGAACGATTATGACGATGCAGACGAACGACTTAGTGATTATGAAAATGAATGCGTTGGATGTGGTGAAGATTTTCGCAAAACTAAAAGTAAAGACGATTGGATTCAATGTGTACTATGCAAAAGATGGTTACACGAGGGATGTACGAGCTATGAGGCCCTTTGTCAAACTTGTGGAAACACTATTAACAAAAAGAAAAAGTAAAAATTTGGTGGTCTATCTATCCTACCTAAAATGGTCCGACTGTCCTACCCTTGGCAGGATAGTTGGACCGTTGCAAGCGTTTACCATTTTTTTTTTGATGGATTATCATATTATGTTGGATTAAAAAAATTACTTGTATCTTAAAGAATAAATGTTCAGCTATGTTCTTGTAATTTTTATATTTTTTTAAGTTGTTAAATAAAGGAATTATGTTGAGTTTTTTAAAAGGTGGTCCAACTCTCCTGACTTTACCCTAATCGACTGGAATTACCCAAGAACTATCATTTAGCCGGATGAATTTTTATTTTCAACGAAATCTATTTGCCTGGCAATTTGGGCGCATTTTGGTCTCATCATATTGTCAAAAGGCAAATTAATTAACTTTGTAAAATAAAAATTTATCCGACTAAAAATGAATAGCTCGAACGTAATTCATCAATGAGATAATTTCATGACATCGGATGTGAAAAATATAAAATTCAAAACAATTCTTCTAGTCAAACTCAAAAACAACGTTTAAAAACAATTGAAAAGTGCAATCACAAGTGTATTTACATTCGGGCGAAAACATCGACACAGACAGACAGACATACGGAAACGGGAAACCTACTTTTTTGTAGTGGATCCTGTTACCTTAGCTTTTACTCTCATTATATTTTGCCTCTTTATTTTAATATGTGTAGACTTGTTTTCACAACATGCATGCATTAAAATGGAAAAATGGTATAAGGAAATATCGATTTTGCAATTAGGCTTAACAACACTACATATATTAAAAAAGAGACAAAGTATTTACCCCGCCCACCCACCCTATCCCAATTGTGATGATTTTTTTATTCGTCGTAAGCCGAGGGGCGGAGGTTAATTGTAAATTCCTTATTTTTCTACGAGAAATTACTATATGAAATATGTTCTTAAGTACTCGTGTTATAAAATGAAAAGTAACTACTTATTAATTAAAAAAGAAAACCAAAAAAGAAGCCACAACCATCCTCCTGGATCGCAATCGTGAAGAATTTTTCATTCGTTGTCAGACCGATGGGCAATCGTATTGGCTAGTATTTTCAAAGGTAAAACTTATTTTGGCAAGTGACATATTATCCTCTGAGAAAATAGGGGCAGGTGGGTGGGGCTAATACTTGCTAAGATAAAACTGATTTTGGCAAATGACATAATCTTCTGAGAAAATAGCGGGCGGGTGGGTGGGGCTAGTATTTTCAAAGGTAAAACTTATTTTGGCAAATGAGAAAATAAGGGGTGGGTGGGCGGGGCTAGGACTTGCTAAGATAAGACTGGTTTTGCCTCTATTAATCTTGTAAAATCTTGTTAAATTTCAAAAGTATTAAGTTGCAAATTTCCTTAGTAACGAGTTAAATTCCTAAATCTGTTATATACCACTTCAAGTTTGCCGATTCTATAAATTTTCCAATTTTTAGGTTTCCCAATTTTTCGATTCGATTCGTTTTTTCTTCTTGGCTATTTTTTCGATTTACTAATTTTTGTCGATTTCTAAGTTTCTCTATTTTTAATTTTTCGAATTTCCATTTTTTGACTTTACAATGTTTCGATTTTTGAGTTTTCCGATTTTTCATTTTTTTTATTTTTTAGTTTTCGATTTTTCAGTTTCTCGATTTAGCATTTTTTCACTTTGATTTTAAAATTTTCCCATTTTTCTATTAATCGATGTTTAATTTCGAGTTTGTAATTTTGACGATTCTACAATTTTCGGGTTTTCAATTCGACTCCTTTTTCTTCTTTCCGATTTTTAGATTCATTAATTTATTTTTGGCGATTTGAAGTTTTCCTGTTTTTAGTTTTCAATTTTTCGATTTTCCACTTTTTCGCTTTTCAGTTTTTCGATTTTTCGATTTTTCGTTTCTTCAATTTTTGAGTTGCAATTTTCCTAGTTTTCATTATATATATCTAATAATAAATAATTACAGTTACAGTTTTTCGACTTCACAATTTTGGCGATTCTATAAATTTTACAATTTTTGTGTTTCCCAATTTTTCGATTTGATTCGCTTTTTATTCTTGCCAATTTTTTCGATTCACTATTTTTTGTCGATTTTTAAGTTTTTCAGTTTTTGGTTTTTTCCATGTTTGAATCTTTCCTTTCTGCAGTGTTTCGATTTGCAATTTTTCGAATTTCCACTTTTTTGATTTTACAATTTTTCGATTTTTGAGTTTTTTGATTTTTCAATTTTTTTTATTGTTTAGTTTTCGATTTTTAGTTCCTCAATTTTTCAATTTGTCACTTGGATTTTAGAATTTTTCCATTTTTCAACTATTGGATTATAAAACTTCATCATTTATTCGATTTTTAATTCTTCAGTTTGTCGATGTTTAATTTCGACTTTACAATTTTGACGATTCCACAATTTTCGGGTTTTCCAAGTTTTCAATTCGATTCTTGTTTTCTTCTGTCGAATTTTTTCGATTCATTGATTTTTGTCGATTTTAATTGTTTCAATCTTTCGTTTCTTCAGTGCTCCAGTTTGCAATTTTTAAAATTGTTTGATGTTTCAGTGTTATTTATAGTTTTTCGATTTTACAATTTTGACGATTCTATAAATTTTAAATTCTACAGTTTTTGGGTTTTCCAGTTTTCGATTTGATTGGCTTTTTCTTCTTGCCAATTTTTTCGATTCACTATTTTTTGTCGATTTTTAAGTTTTTCTGTTTTTGGTTTTTTCCATGTTTGAATCTTTCCTTTATGCAGTGTTTCGATTTGCAATTTTTCGAATTTCCACTTTTTTGATTTTACAATTTTTCGATTTTTGAGTTTTTTGATTTTCAATTTTTTTTATTGTTTAGTTTTCGATTTTTAGTTCCTCAATTTTTCAATTTCTTACTTGGATTTTAGAATTTTTCCATTTTTCAACTATTGGATTATAAAACTTCATCATTTATTCGATTTTTAATTTTTCAATTTGTCGATGTTTAATTTCGACTTTACAATTTTGACGATTCCACAATTTTCGGGTTTTCCAAGTTTTCAATTCGATTCTTGTTTCCTTCTTTCCAATTTTTCCGATTCATTAATTTTTCTCGATTTTAATTGTTTCAATCTTTCGTTTCTTCAGTGCTCCAGTTTGCAATTTTTAAAATTGTTTGATGTTTCAGTGTTATTTATAGTTTTTCGATTTTACAATTTTGACGATTCTATAAATTTTAAATTGTACAGTTTTTGGGTTTTCCAATTTTTTGATTTGATTGGCTTTTTCTTCTTGCCAATTTTTTCGATTCACTATTTATTGTCGATTTTTAAGTTTTTCAGTTTTTGGTTTTTTCCATGTGTGAATCTTTCTTTTCTGCAGTGTTTCGAATTGCAATTTTTCGAATTTCCAATTTTTTGATTTTACAATTTTTCGATTTTTCAGTTTTTGATTTTTCAGTATTTTTTTATTGTTTAGGTTTCGATTTTTAGTTCCTCAATTTTTCAATTTCTCACTTGGATTTTAGAATTTTTCCATTTTTCAACTATTGGATTGTAAAACTTCATCATTTATTCGATTTTTAATTTTTCAATTTGTCGATGTTTAATTTCGACTTTACAATTTTGACGATTCCACAATTTTCGGATTTTCCAAGTTTTCAATTCGATTCTTGTTTTCTTCTTTCCAATTTTTTCGATCCACTAATTTTTGTCAATTTTAATTGTTTCAATCTTTCGTTTCTTCAGTGCTCCAATTTGCAATTTTTAAAATTTTTGCATAATTCACAGTAAAAATTGTTCTTATGGTCTTTACTATGAAATGGTAAAATTAAAGTTTGCCTTGACCTTTATAAGAAACATGTGCTTAGCGGTATAGAAAATTCATATTTTAGAACAAAATAGGCAGAAAAAAATCAAAAAAGGCACCACGGTCAAAAATAGGCACATATACCCATATAACTTTCATCCATTTGCCTCCAACCAAAATGAAGTCGTTATTATCCTAGAATCCGCCAAAATTAAAAATTATGAGCCAAAAACATCTACAACTGTCATACTTCAATTTACAGCACCTCTCCGACGTTCGCTCCACACACCGAATTCCTGTCGTAACGCCCCCGTTTTCTTCCTCCTCGTGCGAGGAATCGATGCGGAAGCCTCCTTCCGAGCCGAGGCGAGAATAATTCACCAATTCAAATTTAAATATTTCAAATGTGAAATGTAATTTACTCCAATAATTCTTCGGCGTCGTAAAAATGTCGCCTGATATTTTAATGTCGCTGAATTATAGCGAAAGAAATTAAAGTTGGCGAAACGCAGAGCGCGACAATTTCATATTCTAACCGGCGGTTCTTTATTGCTGGATTCCTTGTTATTACGTCTTTAATATCAAATCTGAATTATGCCGACGCTTCGGGACGTCCTGCGACGACGCTTTGCGAACCCGTAGGCGAGCCCGAGGGGACCGAATATTTATAACCGACTGGGAAATTATGATAATCGCCGCTGGAAGAAATTCGATGATGGGATTAGAGGCCTTAATTGAATGGGAGTTCATTACGCATTTGGGTTTGCACGAGGCGGAATTTCGCTCCTAAATACGTCATAAGCGTAAATTAACTAAGTTCAACGGCGAAAAATTATTAGGGGAAGCGATGCATTATTTAACTGCAAGATTAGCAAAAAAAAAAAAAATGGTCCAAGGTTAATTCGACTGAACTTCCCTCCTGCTTGATCGAATAAATTGTGCTTTGAAAAATTATAGAGAATTTGTGTTTTCTGATAACCTTTAAATAGTAAAAAAACAGTGCATTTATTGCTGCATTTTTTGCGGTAATTGGTGAAAATCTTACTTTTAATACTATTTTAAAACAGTTTATTAGGGGCAGTATGCAGGTAAATACGTTTTCGAGTACTGCGGATGGGTTTTTATCTAAGGTATCTAAGTTATAAATGTTGTAAGAAATATTAATGTATAAAAATTGTAATTTTTCTTGCATATTTTAGCAATTTTTTACATATAATGCAATATTTCTCTGCATATACTCACGTGCACATATTT